AAATAAAACATACAAAAAAATAAAAAAATAGCAAATAGTAATTATAAAAAAAAAACCCGAGATTACTTGGATCAACATGTCAAAATCACAGGTCATATTATAAAATCAAGATAACTCGGTAGAAAAAAATCAAGAAAATCATGAAATTCAATTTAGAAAAAAACCAATGTCCAAATATGAGATGAGAACAAAAAAATAAGTAAAAAAAAAAACTTGATCCCTACAGTTGTTAGCTTATGAAACCTGTGTGATAGCCATTTGATTAGAAGCACCAAATAAAAAAAAAATAAGAAGGCTAATTCTCAAAAAATAAAATATTAAAAAATAAAATTAAAAAAATTAATAATACAGCAAGATTTCAGAGAAAAAAATAACTAAAAGAAAAAAAAAAGGTGGGAGGCGTCTTTCTGGATTAACCCACTAAATCCATATGTCATGTGATGAAATCAGGACAATCTTATAAAAAGATAAATAAAGAAAACTATAAAGACTATTTTTTTCTAAAAAAATCAATGTCCAATAATGAAATCAAAAAATAAAATAAGTCCATAAAAAAAACAAGAATCTATGTTAGCTCATAAAACTCATGACCTGAGCCATTTAATTACAAGCATCAAACCTAGAAAAAAAAAAGAATTTCAAAACTTAAAAAACCAAATCTCAAAAGATAAAATTGAAAGAAAAAAACATTCAATCACAAAAAAAAAATATAAAATAGCATTCAAAATAACAAGGATCAAATTTTTAAAAAATTAAAAATAAATAAGAGGGTGGATAATTTTGAATTATAGGGCTAAATTGAAAAGAAAAATTAATTTTACAAAAGAATTAAAAAAGAAAGCACCCAAAAAATAAGGACCAAACTAAAAAAAACAAACTAAATATTTTGATTAAAGGATGAAATTAAAAATAATTAAAAGTTTATAAAAGAGATAAGAAAAAATTAAGAAAAAAAAAGAATCAGGACCAAATCTGAAAAAAATAAAAATGAAAAATCTAGAAGGATAAAATTAAAAAATAAAACAAAAAACTTACAAAAGTGCTATACACAAAAATAACAAATCAAAAGAATGAGGATTGATACTAAATATCCCTAACTAAGAGGAATATCTTGTAATTTTAATTTCCAAATGCGAATTCATGGAAGAGTAGGGAAAAAAATGCAAAAATAAAATCTCTAACAATAATCCGTCGAGAAAAACTGAACACAAGTAACTATTAGAGGAAGAGGACATTGGAGGGAATCTAATGACATGATAGAAGATAATTTTTCACTACTGCAAGAAGCCACACGCACCATCTAAGCATGACAGAACCCTTTCGCATCACTAGCACGTGGCAAATAGATTTTAAAATTTAATAATTCTTCATTAATGCAAAATATTAATTTACCTTTTTACTAATTTGCTTATAATGCAAAAACCAACAAGAAAATACAAAAATACCCCCCCAAAAAAGCCTATTTTTTTTAATTTCAGGGGTAAGTTAGTAATTGAATTATACAAAAAAAAAAAATCTTTAAAAAACCCTTAACAACCAATTATCTAATTTTTGTCTTTAAGGGTGTTAAAGGTGTTTTACTATTCTAAAAAACATGAGAAGACCTTTATACCTTCAATTAAAACATTAATGACAAATGATCATATAAGAAAGTCCATTTTACCTCTAAACTTAGCCTTTTAGGTTGATTTGATGAAGGGCAAAATTGTAAAATCATTGTTACAATTCATAGTATTTTGTGTCTATAGCTACAATATTTCTTCCATACCCTATATCTTTTTGTTAAATATTATAAACTAAAAGAGATGGTGATTTTACTATTCAACATCTTACAAATCACTATTCATTTCAATAGTGTGTTTTTGTTTTGAGTTTTCTTAATCTATATTTCTTTTCTTAATTTTATACTTTAATATTTAGTTTATTGGAGATTAAGATTCATGATTTATAATGGTTTGCTTTATACTTGGTTATCTTAGTCTCATAACCTGTGTCATGAGTTTAGTGGGTTAACTTGGTTGATTCAAGTTTTTTTTTTGCTATTTTTAATTGATATTTTTTTTTAATTTCATCATTTAACATTGAGTGGATTGAGAATTAGACTTCATAATTTATTTTGGTTTACTTTCTATGAGATTATCTCAGTCTTATTACTCGAGTAATATAATTTTTTTAATTAATATTTTTTCAATTTCATCTTTCAGCATTGAACTGATTATGAATTAGGCTTCATGATTTATTTTAGTTTACTTTTTATGAGATTATCTCAATTTTATAACTCGTGTCACATGTTTTATGGGTTAACCTATGTAAATTGATATCGTTTTATTATATCTTGTTTTTATATTGAAATGTTTTTTCAATTTTAACCTTTAGCAGTGAGTTTATTAAAAATTAAATTTTATAATTTATTTTGATTTTTGTAGGTTATGACAGTCTCATAACCTTGATCGCAAGTTTGACAGGTTAACTTAGGTGGACTCAGATTATTTTTTTTGTTTGCTTTCTATAAGGTTATTTTTATCTCATAATTTAAATCACGAGTTTGACATGTTAACTTATGTTAATTTTTTTATTGTTATTTTTAAATTTATTTTTAAAATTTTATCTTTCAATATCTGGTTGATTTAGAACTATGCTTCATTTTATTTTATTTTTGCTTTTTATAAAGCGTCATTTGGTTAATTTGGGTCATGGGTTTAACAAATTAACTCGGGTTGACTCGGGTTATTTTTTATTTCATCCTTCAACACTGAGATTTCTTATTCTGATTTACGAGTTAAATAAGTTTTTTTATTCTTTTTTTTTAAATTTTTTTCTCAATTTTATCTTTCAATATTTGATTAATTTGGAATTAAGCTTATTATTTTTTTGCTTCCTATGAAATCATTTTGGTCTCATTACCTGAATCACGAGTTTGATTGGTTAACTCGTATTGACTCGTGTTTTTTATTTTATTTTTTAATTGATATTTAAAAAAATAATAATCTATCTTTCAATATTGGATTGATTGAGAATTAAGTTTCATAATTTTTTTCATTTTCTTTCTATAAAGTTTATCCCAATAACATGGCTCGGTTTGTAAATTTGACAAGTTAACTCAAATTGTTTGTTATTTTGGTTTTTTTAATTGAATTTATTTTTTAATTTTAATTTTTAATATTGGTTTAATTAGAAATTGAGTTTCATATTTTATTATGATTTATTAACTATAAGGTTATCTCAGTCTTATAATACAGGTCGTGTATTTAACAAGTTAAACTAGATCTATCTAATATGTTTTTATCTCATTATATTTTTAAAAACATGTTGTATTAATTTTTTTTAATTAAATTATATTTTTAATAAATTTTAAAATTATTTTTAACAAGATACATCAAATTAGCTCCTATATAATTTATATTTAATTCTACCAGAGAATATGTTAGTATCATACAGATATCTTTTTATATTAAAAAAAAAAAAGAGCGCAGAGTAATACAATAGAAACTTTGAAGCAAAGACCACGGATATAGTGCAATCCCTTGGGTCCAAAACTGCTAGGACTGAAGGAGACAAGTGAACATACCTGTCATAAAAAGGCTTCCTCATTCTAGGAACCTCAATGAAAGAGAGAGAGAGAGAGGAGTAGAAGAGGTCTGGATTGGTTTTCTACTCACCGCCGGTTCCATTCAAAGAATAAATAAAGATATCATTTCCTTTTTACTCGTTGATTGAATTCTTTAACAGCCAGCTACCATTTCTTTCTTCCCACATAAAAAAGTCCATGAAAATGACCAATTGTGAATGCTTGGAGATGTAGAAAAAACCCCAGCTAATATGCAATCCAAGCCACAAAAGTCTCTTTCTTTACTTGCAAGGTAGAAATTTGAATCATGTGAACATGTTCTGATTGGCTTAATATGAAATCTATCTGTCCATTTCCACTAATGGTTTAGTGAATTTGATATCAAATTGATTAACAGAGAGAGAGAGAGAGAGTTTCTTGTGATGCCTGGAGTTCCGGATCTAACAGCAATCGGATTCGAATGCTCAAAATAAAAGTAATTAATCAGATTCTATTTCTCAGAATGGTTGATGATGTGTCACGCTTTGTCCCTTCTGATTATTGGTTTCCTGATTTGGACCGGAAGGATGGATATTATTTTCTTGGAATCCATGTTGTGTTTATCACTCCTTGTTTTAAATATTGCTGACGCATGGACCTTGACTTCGCAAGGCCATTTGTCTCTGACACAAATACAGATCCCTTCCTAAAAGAAAACAAAGGGAGAAGCTGTTGCGGTTCATAGCAAGCAATAACTGACACGACCCTAAGAACTGAGGGGGAGTTGGAATCTGAAACAGAATCAAACAAACTACCAGACATGATTCTGTCAAGCTTCTTTCGATGAATACTATAATGTGAATGACCAACTGGGTCTTCCTTGTTTTCTGGAAAAATCTAAGCAGGTGCCAGAAGTGATCAGAACTGAAGGGGTGATTGTTTTGTTTTGGTTCGGCCACTTGTGTTCGAGTGACATGGATGCTTTACCAAAAGTTTTGTATGGGTGGAGCTGGGAAGAAAACAAGCTGTTTGAGATGGCTTTGGCTGTGGTTGATGAAGAAGACCCAGATAGATGGAAGGTGGTTGCAGCCATGGTTGGAGGGAGGAAGAGTGAAGAGGATGTGCAAAAACATTATGTGATCCTTTTAGAGGATTTGCAGGGTATAGAGTCTGGTAAATTGGATCACACACTTGTTGGAGAAGCCCAGCCTTGTGTTCAGGTTGACTGCTTTCAATCTGTATGTTGGACTGATGAAGATCACAAGTATGTATTAAGCTTCAGCTTTAATTGATGAATTGGATTTGCTTTAGCTCACTTCTTTTGCTTTTAAAAATTTTCTTTTCCTGTTCTGGTTCTTCTTCCTTCTTCTTTTTGTCCGTGTTTAAGTGTTTTCATTAACATATTCTGGCTCCAATCTGATGATGCTCCATGCCTGCTGTAGATAACCAGAACAGCTTCATTTAATTCTTCTAAAAATATTTATCTTCATATCCATTCCAGGTTCTCAGGTCACTAAAACGCATTCCATTCACAGGACGAGTAATCCTCTGGCTGACATATGATAAAAAAACCCTTCTCGCTTTTAAAAGGCACCTATTTATTATCTTGAAAATTCCTTTTCATTTCCGTTCAGAATTTCAGACACTCATTTTAATCGTTTGGTCAACCATGTGAATCCAATATTGCCAGTCTGATCAATCAAGGGCCAGATAACATAGAAAATCTTTTGGTCTTTCCACTTTTTTCTACTAGGATTTTTCTGGTCTGCCTGTCATCCTTGTTTTGGTTTCTTTGACAAAATCTTTCTCAGGCCATTGAGAAAACAGTGTCCCACTAGGGCCAGCCAATTCCTCCCGAAAAATGCATCAGTTTTATACCTTTCCACTGTCTAATTATGCAGTGATTCCTAGCTGATGAATTTTTCTTTCCAGTCTAAAGAAAACGATCAATACAGCATATCTTGGTCGCGAGTAGCAATCCACTATTCCTCAGTCAACATGCACTCAACATACGGCAAGCCTTGAGGAAACTAGGTGTAAAATCACTTGTAATAAAAAAAATTAAACGTGGAGAGCACAAAGTAAATTAACGTCTTTGTCTCAATAGATTTACCATTTTAGCTTGAATAGGCTGCATGTTAGTACCAGTGATTGGAGCCAGCCTGGTATCATGATTTATTTTATTTCACACAGGTTAAAAATTCTCCTTGCCAGTAGCTTTTTGAGTTCCAACCAGAAAGAGATTTTTACTCCTTTTGTAGTTAGATTTCAGTTTGCTCAAATGTCTTATTTCTTTTGTTGTTCCTGATCTTTGCTATATCTTCGTATCCAGGTTGCTGATACGACTGGACATGGATTGATTGGTAGGGTTGGCAAACAATTCAACAGAGCAGAACTATTCCTGTTGAGCTACTGCTCAGGAAGATTGCAAGTCAGGAACATAATTGATGGTGGTAGGAGTATCAATTCTTAAGCTTTGTTCGTAGTTTGTAAGGTACAATACATATCTGTCCTTTGTAAATCAGAAGTTGCCAATGAAATGTGGATCAGAACTGTTAATCTTCCAATCTTTGCTTCCATTTTCTTTCCTTTTCCTTTTTTGAATTCCACGTCTTAGCCCGACAGTCAACCATCCCACCTGTTCTTTTGCTGTTTATTACCAATGGTTGAAGTGCTTAGGATTTCACAAACTGGCCAGAACCATCTTGGACTTGTCTCATGTTGACCACCTGAGGCAGCACAATGTGATCAAGATGTCAGACTAAAGAAATGTTGTTAGGATTCCATACACCACACCGATTTTTGTTTATCACCAAGTCTAGTTTATGAAGAAAGCGAGGAGCTTGTGAAATAAATATTCCGAAAAGTACAATGTGCTCTGCACATTAAGCAGCCATGTGCAAGGGGAACGAACTAGGTCCAAAAAAGCGAACGGTTGACATCCCTGCATTTGTCGCAGCACAATGTTATGTTGAAACAAAAGTACACAGTGAGAGCATGAAAATTGTTCTGTTACAATGCCATTGAGGCCCCCGATAGTCATGGTAAAACTTGAAATTACAATCCTTTCGAGGAAATAGAAAGTAAAATATGATGGTTTGTCTAGTTGATGTTCTTCAAGGAAGACGATACCAACATCACGATCATCAGATTATCATTAGGTTACAGGGAATTCTCGCCTGTATTGAGAAGTTGATTCTAAGCTTTTTAGTGTCCAAACATAGATCTCCATTGCTATTGATCAATGCCTTGGTTTTTCCTGGCAGCTCATGGCAACGTTTTGATCTATAATGTTACAAGGGCAAGCAGAAAATGGGAATAGACAATCCAACCCCATCGCCGCCCCGCCCCCCGCGCTTCTTTGTTTTTCCTCTCAAGCTTCATGCTTAGAGGAGCTGCTGTCTTCAAAGGACGTCTGTCCCTGGAAAATTGTTCTGACTGCAGCAAGTGACCATATTCATATCCTCATGGACGAATTTGCCATCGGCCAAAGATAACAACAAACTTTGCATTATCTCAGTGATTCAAATACATAAAAGAAGGAACCACATGATACTCTATGCTTATGATATATAAACTCGTCAAAATGTAGCAGCTTCATCTGCCTGGAGACTCAAAATTTGATATCACCATTGATTTGCTGTTTGAAGGTAAACAAAGAAGGAATAGCTGTACAAATCTGTCCCTATCAATGAAGCCTCTGATGGTGCTGAGCTCACGGTGGAAGCGAAAAACGCTTCCTAGAAACATTTGTTATTTCAATCATAAGGATTATTTTCTCTGCCGAAAGAGTAGGGCTAAAAAGAGAAACAAATAAATAGCATTTAATACAATGATGTCATAAATCACTAATGGTCAGTGCTAGGACGATTTTTTTTCTTCTTGTTGAATAAAGTGCAGCTGCTGCTACTATATATCGCTTATCACAGTTCTAAATAAAGTGACAGAAAAAAAGAAGTTAATGGAAACAAAAGAAGGGAGGAGAAAAAGAAGAGCCACAAGCCAGGGAAGAGGCAGTGCATGGGTAGAGCCAAAACAGGTACTTCTGTTAGTAGCTCCATCCATGCTCTGCCTGTTCCCCGTCTTCACCTGTCTCTTTCTACTCCCTCTCCCCACGATCACTGTTTACGTACCTTCACCTTTCACCATGCCAGCTACTCCCACCAAAATTAACCTCTCAAAGCCTCAGCCTTCTCCTTGAAAAAAAAAGGCTTACAACAAAGTTTTGGAACACGCTTCCCCTTGGGTGATTTGGGATCATGCTGTCCACGGGGCTTTTATAAGTCAACAAGGCAAAGCATTATAGTACAGACATGTCCTACCAGTTCTACTTGGACTAGCTAACCCTGTACTGCCTCCTTTCAGTACTAATCAGATTAGGGTTTCAAGGGCATTTTTTAAAGTGTACTGCGTACTGCACTCTTTTTTGTACTTGTGAAGCTCAAGTCATTAACAAAAGTAATTAAATAATTCTTAATTATACTGATTGCCAAATGCAATTATTATTATTTTAAAAATAAATAAAAAATGCAACGCTTTACTATCTTCTTTATACAAATTCCGCAGTCATATTCATAAACTATTACTTTATAGGGGACTTCATTGAAAATATTAATAGAGTTAATTCTAACAACCGAAATCTCCAAGATCCTTCACTGGTGAACAGATATTTGATTTTATAAAACTGAAATTAGGTCCACGAAGATAACCATGTCATGTGCAGGTTGCAGACTCGTCGTCCTGCCAATGGAGTAAAATGTAGATTCTGATTTGCTCCCACGGAAACCAGAAGGCAGAAACAACATGGATTTACCATCGAAATCAAGTGAGCAGAACAAATGCCACACTAAAATTAAAGCATTGCATAATCCGATACAAACCCTTAAAAGTCACACTTGCATCAGAGTACAACCTCCTTTCCCATCTAACCTATCCCTAAAACTAAACAGGCAGCCTGATATCGATCTATCTGACATGTGCTTAATGAATTTAAGGTACAGCTCTAGATAACGTGATGCATCTAATAGGCCACATTGCATGATACTTTATTGTGGCCTTCTCCTTTGCACCTGCTGCAATGCAGTGGCCTTTTAACCACTCCTCTTGACCGAATTCTTCTCTTTTTGGGAGAGCCAGAGATTCGACGAAGAGGGGAAGGAAGTACCTGAACCTCTGACAAATCTTGAGGAGCAGGCTTATCCACTGTTGGAACAGGCTTTATTGATTCAGAATATGTTAAGCGATAAGCTTCAGTTGTATAAAATTTGAAGCAGTAATCATATACATCCCTACCAATGTGTTGAAGCACCGCCACAGCATGCGAACACGTGAAACCATTAAGTTGCCATTCCCTGCAACTGCAGTCCCAGGCATCTATGTTAACAACATTAACTGCACCCAAAAAATCTTGCACCTCGAAAGTGTTACTGGGTGAAAACATAACTTGAAGCGACTGTGCCTTGAGAATCTCTTTCTGCAATTTATCCTCCACAGATGGAGTTAATCTTGTAAGCCACTGTTCTGAATCCACCTTTCGAGTGTAAATTAGCTCCATCAATTTATGGCGAATGGTATCAATAATCTTCGTTACTGGTAATGCCGTGAGCTCCTTTAACCAACTATAAAATGACTCAGCAATGGCTGATGTTATATGGTTGTACCTTGCACCTTCAAAAAATGAGTTTGCCCAGTGCACGGGCTCACTTTGCAAAATCCAATCATAAGCTTCAGGTGAAATACTCTTGATGCTTTCGATGCACTTTCTAAATGCATCAAGTGTAGGAGCATATGCAGCATCATAAAGATGTCCAACGATGACACCAATAATTTCATGAATGCATGGACCCTTAAGATCCCTCTTCAACTCTTCTGCCAGATACCTAAGGCAATAAGCATGGTAAGAATTCTCAAAAACCACAGAAATTGACTGTCCTAGTGCCATCTGTCTATCCGCCACAAATGTTATTGGCTGAAGTGTCGGAAGTGCAGATTTCAATTGTACCAAAAACCAATGCCAGTTATCACCATTCACCACATCCACAATAGCAAAAGCAACAGGGAAAATACCATAATTTCCATCCACTGCTGCTGCAGTCAGCAATTCTGACTGATATTTTGATTGCAGGCTCATAGTATCAAGGAAAAGCAAGGGGCGACAACCACTCTGAAAACCATGTAGTGAAGCATGAAAGGCAACAAATAGACGATGAAAACTCAGGTCCTCCCTGGTGTTAAGAGAGATAGCAGTACCCGGATTTGTCTCTACAATCTTCTCACACAACCATGGCAATTGATTGTAGGCCTCTCTGTATGAACCCTGAATCTCCTCTGTGGCAGCCTCCATCCAACGTCGAACCTGTGAATATCTCAATTCAATTCCAAATTCCTGCTGAATTTGATTAGCAATTTCCTTGGGTTTGACATTAGGACTATCATGCAACTTTTCTTTGACAATACCTTCCACTACTTTCTTTGAGGCTCGAGGATGACTATCTGTACCGGTACCAGCTCCACATGTATGGATTTCATTCAGCCTCTTAATTCGGAATAAGTGTGTGGTAGACAACCTTGATGCAAAAATCCTCCAAGGGCAGCCATCAACACTACACTTAACACTTACACGCATACTATCATTTTTCTTAAACTTGACTGTGAATCCCTGAGCAATTGAATACTTGCGTAAAGCATCACGGACTTCACGGACATTATTAAACTGCTGGTGAAGACCAGTTATGCAATTCTCCCATAACTTAACACGTTTCAGCTGTCCAACACTCTCAATTTCACCAGCAGCTGCAGCCAAGGTGTTGAATCGCCCAGCATTCTCAGAAGCAGGAGCAGAAGCAAGAAAAGCAGGAGCAGGAGCGGGAGCGGGAGCAGCGGCAACAGGTGTAACATTGAGAGGGGTCTCTTGTTGGACCAATCTCTTCTTGCTGGCCCTGCAAGACCAATAATGCATTAACATGAAATAAAATACAAGTATGACAATTACATCAGTTTGGAAACAATTATATCCACATGGTCAGCTACATCTCATTACAGCTCAAATCAGAGATCAGACCCTTGCCAACATTTTAAGATTACCATCAGAAGCCAGGCGATCCATTCAACAGAGGAAAGCAACATAAACCTTCCTCTTCCACATTTTAAGAAGATATGCAAATTACCTTTTACGTGGAGTTGTAATCAGGGCTCCAGTTGTACTAGGCTTAAATGAGGCTAAAGCTGTTGAGTTCTCATTCTTAATGACAAAAACATCCACAGTCACCGAGTTTCCATGAAAATCAAGGAATCGTTGAAGGTCTTTGTCACTTGAAATCGTGATCAGAGTCCGCATGTTATTGGGAAGAAAGTACTTGATGGTCATTGAATCAGCTCCATACTTCCACATATCAGCCATCTCCGACCTCAAATCATCAAATTTAGTCTCACGACTTACACTAATAGCATGAGCATCTCCACCAACATATGACAAGGAACCATCACTAGCAGTGGTAAACTTCCCACCAGATTGACATATCACAATAGGGTTACTCATCACTTTTTTCCAATTCTTTGCCGCAAGTGTCAATTATCGAATTCAACAAGACCAAAGCAAATAATCTGTCCAGAAAAGAATTAAAAAATAAATTAATTAATCAATGGAAATACAGTTCTAAACAAGACATAGCTAGCTGTAACAAATTATAAAATTTGAAATACACAAATCTTGACAATTGACATCCTTTGTACGCAGTCACAGGACTATTCAGCAGGTTCAAACAGTAAGCATGTTAAGCAACTGTTAATTATAAAAAAAAAAAAAAGCTTTCTTTCTTGCAAATTATGAAATAAAAAAAATTGAACGCAGGAGCGAACCTGAATTCAACATATGACAACAATGTAGCACGAAAATAAAATAACTTTGATAGAAAAACAATCAAAAGAAAAGAGAGGGAATCAAACTGACCCAGGTGCTGAAATTGCAAGACAAGGCCAAAACACTAGCTTTTACTCCATTGAAGAAGAACAAAGAAACCCTAGATTTAAGATTGGGGGGGGGGGATTTCGGGTTTGAATTACGGTGGGTTTTGATGGTGAAGGAGGTGAATTGAAATAAAATTGTGGTTTTGGATTGATTGGAAATTTCGAGGTTAGGTTTTGGACTTTTAGGGATATCTCCTCTCTCTCTCTCTCTGTCAAAATTCTCAAAACTACCGAGAGTTGGATGAAAACGCAAATTCCCAGAAAAAAGAGTGGCTGACCTATATAAAAAAAGACAAATTCACTCCTCGTTTTCATTGTTCTTGGGCTCTTAATGTGGGCCTATTGTCGGTTTACTCGGCTGGAGAGTGCAATCTCAGAGTTGAGCCGTGTAATCTAATTGTAGGCCTTATTGAATGCAGATCGGTCAGGACTTCTTGTTCCACTCACATTCTAGATGCAATAATTTAGGCCATGCCATTCTCAATTCGGCAAAAATAATTCCTTAACGTGTCAGCCCATACTAATTATGCAGCCACACATGAAATTTACAATCTACTGCAGTGCTGTTTGTTAAGGAGATTATGTCTGTGTTTTGTTTGAAATATAGATATAATATGTTTAATAATAAAAAAATATAGGTAATTATTCATGGATCCCATGAAATTTTGCGTTTGAAACGCATGAAAAAAAAAAAAAAAAACAGTAGGAGCTGTTTCTTGCACGAATGAAAACGCTAAACCATCCTATATGGTTTAGTTAACGGCGTAGCATGTATTTATTGTTCACGTAAAAAAAAGTAGAGGCATGCTCCATTATTCTGGTCAAATTAAATCTAATTTAAAGTTTAAAATGTATTGAACTGAATCTGATCTAGTAAAATAAAAAATTATTTTTATTTTTTAATTGTATTTTATTCAAAAAACTAATACTTAACATTATTCAATGATACTATATAAATTAAATGGAGAGTGCTTGAATACGTGATATTTGTATAATTTGATCATAATCCCAAATTATAAATAGTTTAATGGAGCAATAAAAAATATTTTATATAAAAAATTATTTATTTCATGATATAATAGGAATAGTTAAATCTAAAATATTTAAATTAAAAATTATTAATATTAATATATATTTTTAAAAATTATTTTATAACCTCAATTTCAAAAGTATAAATATCAACTCAACCTCAACTAAAAATAGTTTTTAAAAAACAACTTTTTTAAACCAGAACAACAAAAACTACCACAATATCAAACAGACTTTACATAGGTGGTCAGGGGTATGTCGTGGACGGATTAAACTTTTTTTAATATAAAAAACATTCAAATGATGTTATTTTAAAAAATAAAAATAAAAAATAAAAAAATCAAGTTATTGAATTGAATAAGTTTAATATGTTAGGTTAATTTAATAACATGATTAAAAAAATAAAAATAAATAAAACAATTTTTTTACAATAATTAACTATAAAAATAAGTTATCAATGTCAAACTCGAGAATACAATAAATAAAAAAATATTGAAAACTCACCGTCGCTTTACAATGGACATCACCTTATTATTAGAAGAGTTCACCAAAATGATATTAACACCAATACAAAAAATTGCATGATAATACCAAGAGAAGCCACATGTGTGGTCACAATAATGACCCTGAAAACAAACCAAGTAAAATATCTTAAAGTGAATATCTTATATTCATATTTAATTAATTAATTTTATTTTATTCAAAAACAAAAAAAAATTAAAAAATTAAATTTAATAAAAAACAATAAATAAAAAAACTCAAGATAAACCATGTCAATTTCAAAATTAGTGAAAAATCTTATAAAAACAAACAAATAACAATAATTAATCTCAATTCCAAATTAAATAAATGTAAAAGGATGAAACTAGAAAAAAAAAAAGAAGAAGCTTAAGAAAAAGAGAAAAATAACACAAAGCAAAACCGAACAAATCTTCTAAGTTTGGGTTAATTTTTCAAACTCATAACCCATGGAATCCTATAATTATTCAAAAAGCTCAATTTCCAATCAATTTAAAATTGAAAGATGAAACTTAAAAAAAATATCAATTTAAAAAAAGCTTTTAAAGTAAAAAAAATAACAATAAAAAAAATAGGGATTAAATTTGATTAAAAAAACTTGAAGGAGGATGAAATTTTAAAAAAATATTTTTAAAAATTATCTAAAATGAAACAAATAGTAATCAAAAGAATAAAGACCAAATATGATATGAAAAAGTGGTGATGAAATTGAAAAAAATCTAATTTTATAAATTATTTCAAGTAAAACAAATAATAATCAAAATAACTTAATTAAATATGAAAGAAAAACAAATTGAAGGATTGTTATGAAACATTAAAGGATCAAATATGAGGAAAAAAAAGAAAAGAAAAAAAAAAGGTTATTAGCGCCAAACTAAAGGTTTGTTGACAACACATGCCTCCCAAGAATGGAGAGTCGTTAAGACAATTCTAACATTGTTCTGGAAGCCATTTTTTTTTACCATTAAAAGATATAAAAGACATGCTTGAAGAACAAGACCACAACCCACATACTGATACTTGTAATACATGTGTTAACTAATTTTTTAATAATATTTATATTTAATAAAATATAAAACTACCCCTAATCAACTTAATTATAATAAAAAAAATCATGATAAAAATACAAAAAAAAAAACCCTTCAATGTCAATTAATGAAATTTCACGTTTAAGTGTATTAGCAATGTTACTGTGATTTGAAAAGGTAAAAATATTAAAACACCCCTAAACTCCAATTAATTAAATCTTATTTTTAATAATAATTTAATAATTTTACTGTATTGAAAAGGTTAAAAGGATTTATATACTTCTAATTAATCTGACAATAATTAATGAACCTTATAAAAAAAATTATTCTCCTCCCAATAGCCATAGTCAATCCAAGGTTTTTTTTTTTGTCCCAAGGGCAGGATTGAAATTTTATTGAAAGCAAAATAATATATATCTGTGTATACAATCAAATACAGAGCCTCTTGATTTTATTATTTTATTATTTTTATGTTTTTGTTTTAAGCGTAGCATGTATTTATTGTTGACGTAAAAAGGTAGAGGCATGCTCCATTATTCTCTCAAATCAAATCCAATTTAAAATTTAAAATATATTGAACTGAATCTTATCTAGTATAATTATATTTTATTTTAAAAATTAATATTTAATATTATTTAATAATATTATATAAATTAAATAGAGAGCGCTTGAACACGTGACATTTGCAGAATTTAATAATAATCTTAAATTGTAAATAGTTTAATGGAGCAATAAAAAATATTTTATATAAAAAATTATTTATTTCATGATATAATAGGAATAGTTAAATCTAAAATATTTAAATTAAAAATTATTAATATTAATATATTTTTTTTAAAATTATTTTATAACCTCAATTTCAAAAG